CCGGGGAGGGTCCAAAGCCGGCCGGGGCGGGCCGGGGCGGGCCGGGGCGGGGCCTCCTGCAGTGAGCTCACGCGCGGTGGGAGGCTTCCAGCGGCAGAGGCTGCGGAGCGGTGTTGCGGCGTGGTCACTGCGGGGCTCGGACCATCGCGCTGTCAGACCGAGCGGTCGGCGAGCGGCCGCGGGTGAGTCCCGGGCGCAGCGGAGGTACAGTGTGCTGAAGGTCACTGTTGAGGTCACCCCGAAACCTTCCCCCTCTGCTTGGGACCGCAGTCTTTGGGGCGGAGCTCTCCGGGAGGGGGCGGGGAGCGCTGAAGCCGCAGGCCTGGCCTCACTCAGGCCTTTGGCATCCTGAAGCTGACTCTTGGGAAATGGGGTCTGGGAGAAGTGTTGGTTTGATGTTCTCGGGGAGGGCGGAGTCTACTTTAGTCCCCTGGGGTGGGGACGCTGTGCACCCCCCACCGCCCCCGAATATCCCCGCAGGGCGGAGGGGAGTCGTAGTCCAGACTTCCCCCAACCCCTTACCAGAGATTGAATGTCTTCATCCCAAACATCGTATGGAAACTGGGAAGTTAGTTCTTCCTGCTGTTTTGCCCAAGTGCCCCTCTGGAACACATTCAAAGCGCACTTCCCCCACCGCCTGATCAGAGCTCATCACTGCCTGGGGCTCCCCCTGTGGCCAGGGACTCAGACCTGAAAGGCCCAAGTAAGGCTGGGCTCTGGAGGTCTTCCTGGGAGAGCGGCCCCCACCTGGGCCCTTAAAGGAGCAGAAGTGGGGGACCCACTCAGGGATACCCCAGTGATGTGGTTTTGGAATATAGGTGAGGTTTGGTGGGGTGGGGTCTGGAGCCCACGACCAAGAAAGAATTCTTGAGAGGTCTTTGGTGCAAAATGGTGGTTTTATTAAAGCCCAGGTCGGGACCGTGGGCAGAGGGAGCTGCACTGGGGTTGTGAGGAGCAATTGATTATATACTATGGGGTTGGTGGAGGGAAGGAAAACCGGAGGTTTTCAAAAGACCTTTCATATGCTAAAGAGGACCTACAAGATACTGGAGGCCTTGCTGTTGTCAAGGGATTTTTTTCCTTGTAGTAAAGCAATAACATTAAGACAGTTGGGAGCTTCCTGGAAAAATATCCCATATCCTACCCAGGAGTGGGGGCGGGGGGAGGTTGCTAGGTGTCCGCTTATGCTTTGTCTTCAGCTCGCCTTCATCACCAGGAGCAAAGGGGAGGGGAAGCAGTGAGGAGAGACCCACCCCTCGGGCCCAGTCCTGCACTCAGGGCCTTAGGTGAGGATAGGGCCCCTGCATGAACCACTGCCCCTTCAGTCTGCACAGGTCTGCACAGGACTTCTCTGCCCAGGTCCCCTGGGGTCCCTCAGTCCCCGTGGTGACCACCTGTCTTCGTCCCCCCTCTGTGCAGGACTGCCGTGCCTCCAGTAAACCAGGAGCTCCGGGACAGCAGGGGGGTTGTCTGCCCCCTCTTCTCCCTGCCCCAGCCCCAGCCTGGATTGTTCACCTCACCACTCCCACTCTGTCCTCTCACCTCCAGCCATGGCGCCCCTGCTCACCCTGTTCCTGGTGGCCCTGGTGGGCCTCCCTCTGGGTAAGACGGATGGAGAACAGAAGGATGGACAGCCCCATGTTCGGGGTCAGGTGGGCCAGAAGTGGGGAGGGAGGCCAGAACTCCTAACCACCTCTCCTTCCAGCTGTTCTGCCCTGGGCAAGGTGATGGGACCTGGGGTCTGGTGGGCTGGAGGAAGGGCCTCTCCCTGTTCGGGGACCCGCCCCACCCAGCTCCCACCCCATCCCCTGGCCCCCAGCCCAGGCTCTGGACTGCCACGTGTGTGCCTACAATGGAGAGAACTGCTTCAACCCCATGCGCTGCCCGGCCATGGTCACCTACTGCATGACCACGCGCACCTGTGAGTCAGTGGGTGCCCCCAGCAGCGCTTTCTGGGAGGCGTGAGGGGTGTTCTTTCCTGCCCCTGGGAGTGTGGGACCCTGAGGAGGGAGGCTCCCACTTGCCCTAGGATTCTTTCTGGGAGCACCTGGCTCAGGGAGAACCGGCCCTAAAGGCCCTGCACACCAGGGTGGGCCAACCTGGGGTCCTTGCCCGCCTCCCCTCTGCAGACTACACCCCGACCAAGATGAAGGTGAGCAAGTCATGCGTGCCCAGCTGCTTCGAGACCGTGTATGATGGTTACTCCAAACACGCCTCTACCACCTCCTGCTGCCAATATGACCTCTGTAACAGAGCTGGCCTCTCCGTCCCCGGGACCCTGGCCCTGGCCCCCATATTCCTGGCTACCCTCTGGGGTCTGCTCTAAACCCCCGCCCCCCACCCAGACCCACTCAAGGACAAAGTTCTGAGAGGCTCAGCCCTACCCTTTCACCCTGCACACCCCACCCACCTTCTGCACGCGCAGAGACCACCCACCCCCCACCCAGCCACACCCAGGACTGCCTGCTAGAGTGCCCACCACCCTGGGCCTCGCTCCCAGACCACAACCTTCCATTAGCGAAAGACTGATGTGGGATCAGCCCTCCCAAAGGTGTCTGGCAAAGTGTGCTGCTTAGTTGGGGTCCTCAGTTGGCTGAGGAACACTGATTTGCAGGGAGACTTGGCCCACCTTCCTGGCAGCTCTGGGAGCAAAGCCCTGCCCCAGTCTGCCCAGTAAGTGTGTGGAGGCGCAGGGCAAAGCAGGGACCCAGGATGGGTGGGGGACCGTCCTGGGAAGAAGGGCTTGCTAGGGCGCCAGCAGGGCTGTCTCTGTGCTCTGACTGAGGCCAGGAGCTGCCCAGGGTAAGTGTGGCATAAAGGGCCATGTGAGGAAGGCCTTTGTCCCCGTCAGCTGTCCCAGGTAGGAGTGCCAGGAAGCCCGGTATATCCAGGCAGCCCTTGGCTGGGGGCTTGGGGGTGGGCTCATCCTAAAGAGGACCCTCAGGCCCCCAGTCTCAGAAGCCTAGTAAGAGGTTCTTCCCTTCTTGCTCTGCCAAATCCTTGACCTTTCCCCCTCCCCTCCCCTGGCCTGAGGCTGGCCGGCACTTGGGGGCAGGGCAGGCAGGCGGCTATATTTGGTGGAGCCTGAGAGCTGACCCCAGGGCTATTTTCAGCAGGGAGGGAAGGAAGCTGAGTGGGGCCAAAACAGCCTGGTCTTCAGCCCAAGCATGCCCCTTAATGGAGGGGGGTGAGCTGCAGCAGGTGTCCGAGAGTCAGCCAGGGCTGGGGGGATCCTGGATCAGGATCCACCTGAGTCAGCCAGGGCTGGGGGGATCCTGGAAGTCCACCCGGGACAGAGGCTGGGAGAGGTGGGGTCTGGGATGCAGATGACCAGACTTCCCCCGGGAAGTCGTGCCCCGGGATTTCCTCTGCAACCCAATCCCAACAACCACTGTCCACACCCACTGGCCCCCTTCCGCTGTGGCCTGCAGGCCTGGCTGAATGAGTGCTGGCTGAGCTGGCCTTGGCCCCAAAGGCAGAGCCCATCAGCCTGAGAGTCTCCACAGGACCCTCTACCCTCTGACTCCACCTGAGGGGAGAGAGAGATCCACCCTGGGCTGAAGAGCTCCCTCCTTGATTTGATGAGTGGTCTGCAGGTGCCCCCAACCCAGTGGGGCATTGGGACCCCCAAGGGCCCAAGAATTGGCATTATTTAAAGGGTACCCAGCCTAGGTGAATCCCATCCCTGGCCTGGTTTGGGAAACAAGAGTCCGCCCAGCACAGCACCGCCCAGCTGGGGATATGTCCACCCAGCACATATCCAGCCCTTATCCTGGATAAGGGCTACCTGACCAGTGTCCCCAGCTCTGGTGTCTGTAGAGGGCCCAGGAGCCCCTTCTAGCTGTCTGGTCCTCAGTTGGCAGGATTGTGGCAAATGCCTATGTGGTGGGATTGTCCCTGGAACTCAGGAGCCCATGGCCCTAAAACGTGGCCCTCATCGGGGGGCCTGTGCTGGAGAGTCTGCCTGGAGAGCTTCACCCAGTGTCCCCAGAGCTCAAGGGATTGGGAGAGCCTGCGTGAGCCTCAGTAGGGGTCCTCAGGCAGAGCTGGTTGGACCTCCCAGAAGGTCCGGGAAGATGGGCCTCATCCTGGGCGGGAAGGAGCTGCACCCCAAGGAGTGTCTGGTTAAGAACTCGGTCCCCACAGGAGACCTGGGTGTCTCCTCCCCCTGAAGCCCAATCCAGTATGAGACCTTCCCTGGGGGAGGCTGGGAGCAAGCCAGACCCCAGCCCTGAGCTCCCACAGGTCCAGCAGGATCCCCAGAAGTGGTCAGCCTCGGGGAAGTGACTCAGCTCCCCCACAGAGCTGGCTGGAAGGCCAGCAGAGGCCTCTGGATGTGGAAGCCAGCAGGAAGAAAGGGTGGACATGGGCCTCCAGCCCTAGCCACCCTTGGCTTCCTGACTCAGTGGGAGAGGCTTGGAAGCAGTTGGTAAACTGCTTGTGTAAGACCTTTGTCCTGGGTCAGCAGGCATCCTAGGCCACAGCTGGGAGGAGCATAGGATCAGTCCTCCCTCCCCTCGGTGGGTGATGAAGTTAGAGGCCTGCCTGGCCACCTGTGGGCTCTGGGGTCACTGAGAGCAGGGAGCTGGGCTTGCCGTGGTATGGGGGTGCTTCTCATACCTGCCTTCTGTCCCCATCTGTCCATCCTCCGCTGTGACCTGGTCCAAACCCAGGGCCCACAACATTGCACCCGGCCCGCAGGACAATGCCCCCACCCCACCCACCTACCCACAGGGCCCTGGCCTGCTGGGCTGTCCTCAGAACCCAGCACAGAGCCCTCGGGAGGCCCTCAACTAATACGGGGCCGGCCCCTAGTGGGAAGCCTGTGACACCGGACTCGAAGGCAGTGCCAGTGGGAATGGCACCGACGAGGACGGGAGCTGATCTCTGTGGCTTCCTTTGTCCCGGCTGCAAGCGCTCCACGTCCACCCTGCAAGGTGTGAGCCATTGCCACGCCCCCTTTACAGGTGAGGAAGCTGAGGCCCAGCATGACCGGGGCGCCCAGCCACCACACCCCGGCCCCACTGAGCAGAGTCTTCTCCCACCAGCTGGGAGACTGCATCCCTGAGCCCGGGGCGGGGAAGCCAAGGAGGGGAATTGTGAACTGAAAGCGATCTGAGCCTGTGAAATACTTCTAAGAGCTTAGGGTCAGGAAAGCTCTAGAAGGAGAAGAGTGGAACCAGAGATCTGAGGAGCCGTGAGGCCCCCAGGCAGGCGTCCAGCCCTGTGTCTGTGTCCCGGGCCGTGGGCTGGGGTCGCAGAGAGGAGGGCACAGGGGCAGCAGGCTGCCCCCAGGCAGTGGGCATGTCCGCTGTGGGGATCCCTCCAGCAGAAATGAGTACCCCCTCGATGTGGATGGATGCTCGGGCTCCCGGCAGCTCTCTGGGCCGTCCCAAGTCTGGAAGCAGCCTGAGCGTCTCTGTGCCGTGCCGCCCGCCGCCCGTGACGACTCTTGGAGCCCAGCTGAGGAGCTGGGCTGCAGGCGCTGAGCTGGGGGCACGGGTTGGCGTCTGCAGCCAGAGGCAGCTCCAGGGCTGTGCGTGCAGCCTGGCCCCGCTGCATGCAGAAGGCACCAGGAAGGGGTGCATCCAGAGCGCCAGCCCCGCCAGCCCCGCTGCTGGTGGGCTGGTGCTGGGCAGGGGGCAGGGAGGCTGGACCAACCGCCCCACCTCCCTTGGCAGCGGCTGATTTGTTTGTTAAACATGTATCTTACCTCTGGAAAGGGTACAAAGAAACTGGGATGGCTCTTTCTTTCTCCTGCCCCCCCTCAGTGAGTTTTGTTGGATTCTACAACTCGGGGTGCCTGGAGGTCATCTCGCACGTCTCTGAGCCTCAGCTGTCTCATTGATAAAGTGGGAATGATGGTTCCCACCAAGCCGAGGCCTCGGGGGGATGGACGAGGCTGTGGGTGTACGTGCCCAGCCCAGGGCCTAGCACACAGGAAGCCTCCGATGGACAGACGGACGGATCGATGGGAGGTCCCTCTTCCTTTCATGCCACTTGCGAGGTCTGGGCACTTCGAGGGCCGTGCCTCTGCCGGCAGCTAAGGTTAACCCCTAGCCCTGACCCTGACCTTGATCAGCATGAGAATCCGCCTTCAGGCCAGAGCGCCCTCCTTGGCTCACTCTAGCCCTCAGAGAGGCCCCCTCAGTATCTCAAGTGTGTGAATAAATGGATGAATAAATATGTCTGCCCTTGGTCGGTCCTCACCAGCCACCTCAGCCCAAGCTCAGCTCCCCCTATCCGGTCTGGTAGGGCTGGCCCTGCCGGCTCTGTTGGTCCCGGACTCCAGGTCACCCTGGCTCATCCAGTTGCCCCTGGAGCCAGGGCTGGCACGGGGCAAGGGGACGACCCGTGGGAGGGGAGCGAGCCGGAGAAGCAGGAGGATCCCGGGGCTCCAGGGAAAGCGGCAGGCCCACCAACTCACCCAGCTGCTCCCTTTGAGAGGGGTCCCTAGAGAAGGCTGGAGGGGGCCAGGGGAGGGAGGCGTGACCCCAGGAACCCACCTGCCACCCGGGCTTTCAGGCTCCTCCACCTGGGAGCAGGGTCTGAATCCACCCAGCCCCCAGCCCTAAGGAGTCCACCACATAGAGCGGCGGACAAATGCCACTCAGCAGCCAGAGCTTACACAGGGCTCCGCGGGCGGGCAGCGTCAACGCCCCACGGACGCCCCCTGCGCTGCCCCCATCCTGCCCCAGCCCCCGCCAGCTTGGGCAGAACAGTGTGGCTGGCGGACCTGTGCCCTTTTGGGCCCTCACCCATCATGGGACCCTTTTAAATACGTCTCTGCTACCCGCCCCTCCCGCCACCCACCCCCCGGGGGCAAACAGCTGCAGGTCTTGTGTCCTGCAGTGTGAGCTCGGTGACAACCACGAGCCCGCATGACTCCTAGCAAGGCAGGCAGCCCCCCACGGCCACTTCTGGACAAAGGCCCATCTGACAGGCAGGACCGCTGAGGACGCCCGTGTTCTGCCTCTGTGGAGAGTGCTGGCCATCCAGCGCCTAGGGGGCAGTTTTGGCTGGCCCTAAGCTTCGCTGGCATGTTGAGGGGGAAGGGTGAGCTCAGGCCCGTGCTGGACCCTCGTTCCAGTTCCTCGCAGGAAAACCAGAGTCTGTGAGCTGAGGGTCCGCCCTGTGCCAGGTAGTCTTACCTGATCCCCACCCTGCAACCTGATGGGCAAGGAAAGAGGTCTGCGTGATAAACTGGGCTTGCCCTCCGGCCTGGGGGCTGGGTGGGCCCCAGCCTGGCTTCGTGGCTGAGTCAGCTGCCAGGTGAGTCAGACGGCGGAGTCGGCGGGGGCAGGGCGGGAGCAGCAGGTATAAGACGGCAGCCGGGTACCCCGGGAGCCAGCCTCACCCCAAGAGACCATGCGGCTGCTCCCTGGGCTCTTGCTGGCCGCTGCCTTGAGCCTGGAGCTGGGTGAGTTCAGGGGCCACCTCCTCCCCCACTGCTCTAAGCCGGTCCCCCAACCCCAGCCAGCACCGAGCCCTGCACTGTGGCTCCTCACCTCAGGGAAGCCCAATTCCTGCCCCCTCCACCCCTTTGTCTGGGCGCTAGACCCTCCCCACCTGCCGCCTCCTACCGCCTGCTTGTGGACAGCACTCAGTAGTTCTCCACCCCCTCCTCGACCCACAGGCCCATCAGCCGAGCGCTCAGTGCTGTCCTTGTCCCTGTAAGGGCTGCCCACCTCCCAGCGCCCTGCCCCGAGCTTGACAGCCCTCTCCCCCCACCTCCCCCACAGCTTCTCCAACTCAACAGTGACCCCCCACACTGAGTGTGAGGGCTTCTTTCAGCTTCCCCTGGCCTGCACCTGTTTCCTAGGACCACCCTCTTCTGGCCCCCTCCTAACTCTCTTCTGGCTGAGACTCGGGTCTCTCCTCCCTTGCTCAGGCTTCCTGAGGGGCCAGTTCCCCACTCTGGCCATTGCTGTATTCAGCCCACGTCTGCTATCGCTGGCCCCATCCTGTCCAGCTCCAGGCCCATTGGACCAGATGCCTGCCTAAGGGCTTCTTGGGCACCTCTCCTCAAATGGGGCTGCCCACATCTGGCCTCACCTTCCTACCGCACCTGAGGTGGGATGGCATCTCCACCCGCCCACCCAGAGGCCCGAACAAAACCAACTAGACCCCCGATCCAACTGCAACCAGCCCCACCCCCCCAGCCCTCACCTGGCAAGGCCTCTGTCTCTATATCTGGGTCAGCACCCTCCTCACGGCCCGCGGCCCTAAATGAGATAGAGCGAGTGTCTGGACGGCCCCTGGCATGGGCATCGGGCTCCACCCAGCACCGTCTGGGATCCGCTACTGTCTCACCTGCGGGAACCCTCCCCAGGCCCGGGCTCTTGCAGGCTCTCTGTTCGGTGGGGAAGGTCTGTGAGGCTCTGGGCCCAGGTCTCCTCAATGAGCCCTAAGAACTGCCTCAGGGTCATCGGTGTGGATGGACAGGGGTGGGGAAAGGCTTTGTCACCACCAGGGCTATCACAGGGGTTGCGTGGCATCCAGGAGTGGCCACCCACAGGCCCCTCCTCCCTCCCCTGGCTCAGCCCAGGTCCAGTGGATCACAGGCGCCCCACATGCCACAGCATTGCTGGTGTCCTCTCCCTGCTCCCCAGGAGAAGCACACCCGCCCCCCCAGTCCACATGCCGGCCCCGCTTCAGAGTGAGCCGGGATCAGAGTGGGAGGTGTGCCGTCTGCAACACAGTGTGAGCCAGGACAGGACACGAGCGTGGTCAGCTGCACCCACAGCCCTGCCACCTGGCTGCCCTTCCTTCCTTCCTTCCTCCCCTCCCTCCACAAAGCTCTCCCGAGCCCCACTAGGTACAGAGGAGGATGCTCTGGGGGCACGGAAGAGTGGGTGAAATACCCCACCCATGTCCTTCACGTCGGAGGCGGTGGGGGCAGGGAGAGAGCCCTGAGCAAGATCACATGGGGGCAGGGACACTGTCACCAGGCTGGAGCAGAAGTGCCAGCAACTCGGGGTGGGCATGTCAAAGGAGGAGCCATCAACTCTGCCTGGAAATCCAGAAGGCCTTCTTAGAGGAGGTGGCATTTGAGCTGGGGCCTGTTTTGCCCGGAAGGCAGAAGGAAGAACATGGGCAAAGCAGGGAGGCATTTGGGAGGCTGAGCAGATGAGAGCGGGAGGCAGGAACTGCGTTTCTCACCGGGGTACTCTTGGGGCACAGACACCCCGGCTTTCCAGGTGACATTCCCCTGTCTGTCCATTAGGTGGCATACTCAGCTTACCACACCTTCATCGGGTTTGATGTGAGGGTGGCTTCAAGCAGCTTTGATGGGCTTTGTGACAAGCGCTGTCACCTTTCCTGGTCACCTGTGGGGTCTCAGATTGCTCTGTGGGGCTGGCAGACGAGTCAAGGCTGATGGTGGGCACATTCCCATGGTGGAGACTTCCTTGTCTCCATCACCTACTCTGTGGTTCTGGGAGGAGGCCACCCACATCCCCAGGGGGTGAGCAGAGGGCTCAGGGCTGGCCAGGAGGCGCGGTGTGCCCCTGCCCAGGTGTGCATGTGTGCTCCCGTGCACACTGTGGTTTGGTGAAAGCGTGCGATGCATCATCGTGGCCACGGACCTGGGTCTGAAAGCGTGCTGGTTTGGGGCAGGTCGAGGGCAACGCTGATGGCGGGGCTGGGGCCGCCTAGCAGAGGCCCGAAGGACTGACTGGGGGGGCGGGGGGAGGCGCGAGTCCACCTGCCCTGGACTGTGACAGGAGTTTCCTGGGGCTCCGAGCCTGCACATGGTGAGCGTGCGTGGTGCGGGCCTCGCAGCTCGTCCCACTGGCTCTGTGACTGGGAGGGTGCTGGGTCTGCACGTGCAGAAGGCCCGAGCAGGCCTGGGCACCGTGGCTCGGGACCTGGACAGAAACCCTGAGTGCAGGAACCAGAGAAGGAGACGCAGGGAGGGAGGGAGGAAGTTCGAGGCAAGAAGCATGGGGGGTGGGTACAGAGGGACAGAGAGCCCCACGCAGCGCCCACATGCAAGGACAGGGCTGATGGGCAGATCTGCCAGACATTTCGGGGATGAACTTAGTATTTCCAAAGCCTCCAGGTTGTCCCCATAGATGAAACATCAACCAAAACTGTGCCAGCCTCTCTCCTGTCCCTTTCATTGTCCAGCTCTTCTGTCCCCCTTGCTTCCCCACTCCCCACGGAGGCTGTGGAGGCCCCACCACCACGAAGGTGTCTGTGGGCCTAAGGGGTCCTGCTCAGGCCCCGCAGAGGAAACATGGGCATGGTCATGTCTTGGGGAGCCCTCACCACCTTCCCCCCATCCCAAACTCCCCCCAACCCTCAACTCCTTCTGCGTGAGGCCCCTGCTCATCCACTCCCCTGGGGGGGGGGCACACAGCGAGCCGGGGAAGACCCCATCCTGCCTCCCAGCCCAGCACTGTCCTGGGTGGACGGACTCGAAGAGCTGCCTCCAGCTGCAGCCGCCCCAGCTGTGGCCCTGGGCCTGACCACCTGCATCCTGGGAAGAGCAGTCCCACAGGATGGCAGGGCAGAGGGCCAGGACCTTGTCCAGCCCCGGGCTGAGGCTTGGGACATGGTGACCTTTTCCCCACCCCCCTATCTGAGAGGGGGGCACTGGGTGGGAAAAGAGGGTGCTGTTAGGCGGGCGTTGCCCATCCCTGTGTCCCTCTTTGTGTGTGTGTCCATCCACCTGTCCCTCCGCCCGCGACTGCAGCCGGAGCCTTGAATTGTCACCAGTGCAAGGGCTTCGGAGGGTGCCACCATGCGGCCAGATGCCCCCGGGGCTCCAACTACTGCGTCAGCATTGGCACCCGTGAGTAGGGGACGCGCGGGGTGGGCCAGCTGTGCCCTCCTTGCCCAGGAGAAGAGACCCAGGCTCAGAGTGGGCAGAGCTGATCCAGGCTCCCAACCAGTCAGGAACAGGGCGAGGGGAGCATCCGCTGACCTCCGCGCAGGAAAGGACCCAAGGGAGGGGGCCGGTGACGCCCAGTTTGGGGACTGACTCTGGGCTTGGTGGCAGGTGGGGCAGGGGGCACGGGCAGCTCAGAGCCTCAGGGAGCTTCTGTCCACCCCAGGAGACCCCTTCAGCGTCATTGACCTGCCTCTGGTGACCAAATCGTGCTACAGCAACTGCCCGGACATCCTCAGCCTGGGCCTGGGCCCCAACGTGTCCCTCGTCTGCTGCCAATACAACCTCTGCAACATCGACTGACCCCCCCCCCCGCT